TCAAAGAAATTGAGAAATACGCCATTCTCGTAACCTTAACACTATTTTTAATAAAAACCGATGGAGCCATTTTTATTAAAAATTTGGAAAATGTCCCATAAGTTTTATGTAAAGTACGCCTTAGAATTAAAATTGCGGTTACAAATTCAAGGAATCAGTAAGATCGATTGAGGAATATCAATTTTGTAGAAAATAGACGGAACGATTTAACCGCTAGCATTGTTGACGCTAGCGTTGGACGGACAGAAAGACGTTTTGCCGTCATTCGATTTTTTGGTATCAAATATCTACAAAACATGAATTATGGCCGCGCCACATGATAGAGGATCTTTTCAATTAAGCAATTGGATATATCCACTTTTTCGTTACCTGGGCTCTGTAATACAAGCTTTTCCCGTGAAAAGTCGCCATTTTTTCGCGCATTACATAACTTTCTTCTCCGTAGCGAGAAAATACAAATGTCTCGGACTGTTTGAACCATTGAAAAATTTAGCTCAGTGAGTATCATACACTGTGCTGTGCTGACTGTACCAAACATGAAGTTTTGACATTCTCTATCTCACATTAACAACGTACTGTTCGTACTCAACCATTCAAAGCCAGGATTTCGAACGCGTCGCTATATTTTTCAGATACACTTAAAAGGCCGAGGTGCTTACGTCAAAATAACTCTTCGTGCTCTGAATAAACGATCTGAATGAACATGGTAATTAACATAATTAATTATTCAATCTAGGTCTCGCAGGGTTTTTAGGAAGGTAATTAATACTTTCCGAATCGATATTGCAATTCTTTTTAAACAAGATTTATTAGCTTCACTTCCAATTCTCGCTGCATTTGCAACAGGAGTATAAAATACAAGTATTCTCGTCATTTCACTAACGTCTAGCTGCACTTTCCATTCCCATTTTTAACATAATTTAAACATCTCATTCAACGTTTTAATTGCGAGGCATCTTTAATTTTAAACTTGAAAATGGTACTGGAGTTGTAAGTTCCGAGCGTCATACCTCGGTTTTGGCGGTCGAGCACTTTTTGTGCGTGATGTCAAAGTGAGCGAAAACCTTCAATACTGCGATACCATCTAGCGAATTTGTGTTCTCTGCCATGACATTCGAACGAAATCATCTCGTTAGGACTTGATTGGCTGTAGGCTGAATGCCTTGATCTGAAGGGATTTTGCTTGTTGCTTTCTCCCTACAAAGTAGAAAGAAAGTTATGTATTGTTGCGCGAAAAAGGCGAATTTTCGGCAGAAAAACTCTTTATTTCAGGGCCCTGCTGACGAAAAAGTGGAAACATCCAATCGCTAAATTTAGGGGAGAAATACTCCATCTTGCGGTGTAGCCAGAATCCATGTTTTGAAGGTCCTTGATACCATAAAATCGAATGGCGGCAAAAATCTGTCGTTCCTTCTGTGAACAACGCTGGTGACTAAACCGTTCAGTCGACTTTCTCCGAATTTGATATTTCTCAAACGACCTGACAGATCTCGCGAGCTCTTTAAATTTGAATTGAATTGAATTCAATTGAATTATGCCTTATTTTACGTGGCGAGACTCAGGCCATTAGGCCTGCTCTTCCGTCTGACCACGCAAATTTCGCTACGCTCCTTTCACCAACTACCGGAGAAAGGAGGTATCGTGGGCGAGAAACAGGCGACTTGAATTTAGCTCAGAGGCGTCATTTAGGCTTGAGGATCTTTTACATGCAAGTAAATCTACGAACATGGGACAGCCGGCTTTACTTCCCCGTACGAAGGATTTTTTCGCCCTTAAAAATCCACGGCTTCGATCGGGTTTGAACCCGCCAACTTGGGTACAACAGTCCAGTACGCTAACCGTCACACCATCGCCGCCGCGACAGATACTTTAAATTTGGGGTACTTTACATGAAGCCCCTAGGATATTTTCCAAATTTTCATACGCATTCCGTCTGTCCATACGCATTGTTGCGTTGATCTTTCTACACCGCGCAGTTCGAAATTAACGACAGCTCTTCTCTCCGTCAAACTCGTACATTTCTACATTCCAATTTACAAAAGTGTTTAGATTTCTGTAATTTCTTCATTGCATTAATTTTCTAATCAATGATCCAAGTAATAAATTAATTTCCTTCCCTTTTCCAAATTCCTAATCTTGTTATGTTTAACGTTTATGCATTCGCTCATCACTTGTAAAACATTCAATTGTCTTTGCCTAATACACGAACATTGATTTAATATAAGCTTGACCACTGGTCCAGTGCCCAACCTGCAAGGCGGTGGCTTGCGTGCGCAGGGCGACGGGTCGTTCGAGGCGCGCTGGCCGCCCGTGGAGGAGCTGGTGGGCGCGGTGATGGGGCCGGGCGCGGGCGCGGGCGTGGTGCCCGTGTGCTGCGACCTGGAGGCGACGGGGCTGGCGCGCGGGTCGCGCATGCTGCAGCTGGCCGCCTACCACCCGCGCGGCCTCCCGGCCTCCTTCAGCCGCTACATTCTGCCGCCGCCCGGCGCGGCCATGGAGAGCGGCGCCGCGCGCGTCACGGGCCTCGCCCTGCGCCAGGACGCCGTCGGCCGCCACTTGCACGACGTCAGGTGAGGAGGCACTAGCTGACGTCAGGTCAGGTACTTGCACGACGGCCCGTGAGGCACTTGCACGACGTCAGGTGAGGCACTAGCACGACGTCAGGTGAGGAGGCACTTACACGACGTCAGGTGAAGCACTGGCGCGACGTCAGGTCAGGTACTTGCACGACGGCCCGTGAGGCACTTGCACGACGTCAGGTGAGGAGGCACTTGCACGTCAGGTGAAGCACTGGAGCGACGTCAGGTCAGGTACTTGCGCGACGTCAGGTGGGTCACTTGCACGACGTCAGGTGAAGTACTTGCACTACGTCAAGTGAGTTACGAACCATGGCAGGCGGAACGCAATGTATTTAGTAACAGACAACGTACAGTTGAAACGGTAACAGTCGACAGTTCTTCTCTCAGCTCTCCGACACTATACTTCTGCCACTGCTTCTTTTATTACGTTAGCCCAATCTCTTCGGTCGTCTGCTTTTCTTCTTCATCTTTTCTCTCTTAGGGGCCTCTGATCTTCCCCATCATTCCATCTTAACCTCGGCCTGCCTCTACTCCTCCTACCGGTCATGCTCCCTACATATATCTTCTATACTGCCATCTCTTCCTTCATTCTTAGTATATGTCCGCTCCATTCCCACCTTATCTTTATGCAATTTTAAGTGTTTTATGTTGTTCGTCCAAGTCTGCATTTGTTCTACTCCAAATTTCATTTTCTTTAACCGGTCCAAATATTCGACGTAAGATATTTCTTTCCCATATTGCCGGATTATGTTTTATTTTTTTTCGTGAGGTTTCAAGCTTCAGAATCATAGAAAACCACCGGTTTGAGTACTGTATTGTACAATTTTAACTTAGCGGACTACAGTCAAGAGTTAATGTCAGAAATATTTGACGATGATCCTATTACTTATTCATATCAAAAATCATTTCAAAGCAAGTGAAAAAAACTTTCTCTTTAAGGAGTGAAAAGGCAAGTGGATTTCTCCAAGAAGGAATGAAATAAAAAACTGTATAAAACGATAGTCAAGACAAGACTTCTCTAGGAATGTGATCTGACAAACGTCCATTAAATTAATTTTTGCCATAACGTTTTCTAGAATTCCAGTTGCTTGAAACAAAGGTACTGTGATAGCTTGTTACAGTGGTGGTATTTTTGTCGGAATTCTGTCTAAATTTTACGAGCAGTACCACAGGGCTCAGCCCTAGTTCTGCTCTTCGTCTTGATTTATTTAAATGATATCCGTTCGAGACTATTAATAAGGAGTCACCGTATGTATGCGGATCTACAGATTGACGGTAATTGGAAACCTGAAGTTTTTCAATTAGCACAATAGATCACGATTTGGAATCCTTAGTTAAGAGATCCTTGAAAACCTCTTGTTAACCCTACTCAATCAAATCACAATTCGATTATAATTTGCACCTGACTCTCAGATTACTTTAATATTCCTCCTATTTTCCCCTTCTGTTAAAACAATCCATGTCTTTATCTATAAATTACTAAATTTTAAACACTTGCTTTGGTTACTTGAGAAGTTCACGTCTCATTTTTTTCTTTGCATGACCCCATGGAAGTATAGACCGGGGATGGAACGTACATTAACGTTGTGTCTCCCGTCAAGGACAATCGTGCTTCTCAGTGGCTATCGGTGGCTGACAAACGAAATTTTTAGAGTATGCAATCATGATCGAAGAGCTTTAACTAGTAATTACCTGCGATAACAAACGCCCCAAGGAGATACAACGTTCAGAGGCGAAGGAGAAGTTAAAGTCGTTTGCCCGGCGGGAGTCGTAGTTACAGCTAGCTCTCTATTCAAATGTCAGGGCATAGACAATGAACGCTTTTTAGTCAGCACATGATCCTGTTGGCTTTTCAGCTGTCGCTGCGTGGGAGGCATCGATATTTCTACTAGATGCCACGGTCTATCTCAAAGCTTAAGTCATGTATAGTTGTGGATCAATCAGGCAGGACCGTGAGGTGGCGGAGTGTTATATCCCAAAAAACAATAATTTCTAAAAAGGGCTTTATTACAACCATACCATAAAGAGACAAACAAATTCACGCCAGATCAAACAATTTTCCAGGAGATGTACCATAGTCGCAGCCGTTGTACAGTTCACCGTTTCACTAGAGAGGAAGTCCGTATTCGTAGCCGTGTCGTCGCACTATGTACACTTTTCACTAGTCACTTCTCGAATGCAGGCAGGCGCTTGACTGTCCTCCGCTCACCGGGCACGGCTCTTCTAGCCGTCTCGGGCTGTGGTCCGCCGGCCAGCTGTCCTATACGGATGCGCCGTTTCACTCCGAAGCCTGGCCGATCGTGACGGCGCTGCGTCGTCTGCTAACGCCGCCCTCTCTTGCGTGGCGTCGGAACTAATTTCCAGTCGACCATAACACGGAGGAAGGAAGACAGGGTAGCAAAGTAGCCAATAACCTATTTTGGGGGAATGTTCACTCGAGAATCCCAAACGGAACCCTCGATCGACGTAAATCTGGAGGTGAAAAGCGAAGCAATTGCGCGGCGCGTGGTGTGGCGCCGTGTGTGAGCCGCGCGGCGGTGCGCCGGTCGCAGGGCCAACTGCGCGCTGGCGACGGTGAGCGAGGAGGCGGCGCTGCGCGACTTGTTGGCGTGGCTGCACACGCTGGCGGGCGCCGCCGGGGGCGCGGTGCTCTTCAGCCACGGCGCCCTGCTGCTCGACGTGCCGCTGCTGGTGGCGGCCGTCCGCGACGCCAAGCTCGAGGGTCCTTTCTACAAGGTGAGGCTGCCTCTGTTGCTGCGAACAAATACGTTCCTTTTACGGTAGATCCACTGCTGAGAGACAATTCCGGGGTGGACCGCTCGCTAGACATGAACACGCTTTGCGGGCTCCTCGGATCTGGACGCGACGCCCTCCGAGACGATACATACATGAGAGACAAAAGACAAACAACCATGCCCAAGGTGAGACTCGAACCCGCGACACTTCAGGCCGAGTCGGCTCACGCTCAGCCATTCAGGTCGGCTACAATCCCGGGCGAAAAATTAAATTTTGGCGCTTAACACACATACACACACAAATGAAAATTATGAAAGCTGTATGTAATCAGAGAATTATTTTTTTAATTAATTTAAATATCATTATTTTGCGGAATAACATTAAGTATTAAAAAAAATTGTGTTATATGGAACCAAGTATTTAATGATCCAACTACATTCTATGTATGAGATCTGTTATTGCGAATATCCCCCCAAGTATTTAAATTGCGTTATTTATACGTTAAATTCTTACTTAAGGCCGGATTCACCAACCGGAATCAAGATGATTAACCCCTAGTTGATCCGTATCAACTTCAGTTTGATCCCGCTGTTCGTTTCTCCACGCACTTGACACGAATCAACGTGTCTGACTCGGATCAAATTTGACTCGCAATTGATCCGTCGCCGAGCGGTGGATCACAGCCAGATCAGGAGTTATTTCTCGTCTTGGCCGTCTCGCTATTCCAGTTTTCCGTATTTTTTAAGTAAATACCTGTAGTTGGACTTTGATTCAGTATGGTAGTATTCGCTAACAAGTAGGATTGCGCGTAATATTAGTTGAGCAAATGTGTTTTTTAAGATAGTATTGTAAATAAAAGTAAGGTTAACACAATTGTAGGTTAGAATTCTCGGTATTGGGAAGTAAAATTTAAATATATTTTGGCTTCAATTTAGTATAATTATAAGTATCATTAGTAAAAAAGCATTTTGTGATATCTGTATTGCAATTGGCATGGGATAGTTTTATTGAATACTTTTTTTAGTGTAGTAATACTTTCAATGTTTGTTCTTGTTATGTTAATTTGTGTCGTAAAAATGGAGTATGTTTTCGAATGTGACTCAATAAATATTATTATTTATTATTAATGAAGTCATGAAGATTTATTGTGGGGACAGACACCACGAGTATTTCCCAAAGAAACGATTATTTTGAAATGTCAGAACGAGCATTAAAACTTTGTATTTGCTCATTAAGCTTTCGAGTAATTCTCTTTCAACTGGAGAGAAATTGGGCGTAGTATGCATTCTTTCCAGTGTCAGGTGAATCCATCTCCGACCAAGAACACCACACAGACGGAACGAAATGAAATCAAAACAACTCGTTTCCTACAGCTGACCGCGAGAATACCCACAATGCATTGCAAAATTGTTGCCAACCGCGCATTTTCACGATTGCTCACGAATCATGGGATCCGGATTAACTTCGAAGTCTCAAACTGTTTGTGAAACGCATGGGGATCAAGTCGGCCTTGACTCCGCGGATCAGGATCACGAAACTCGGATCAACTACGAATATGATCCTGGTTGGTGAAACCGGCCCTTAATGTCTCCTTATGTAATGAATGTCCTTGTGCAGATCATTCGCTGGTCTTCTTAAAAGAAAACTCCTACTTCGCCGATTGCTTTGTGATATATTTATGAACAGTTTGCGTTAGTTAACGCTCGGTGCAGATGACTCATGGAATAATTTCATTCTAATTAATTTTTAAATAACGCTTATACCCATTAAAATATATTAATGCTACCTAATATTCAAGATAAGTAAAACTACTCCA